TAGTATACAATGCATTTTTATGGTTACCTATTTTTACATATACAAACAATACATGACACTTTTTTTAAATTCTCTTTATTATGAATTGAGACCTGTTTCGGCAAAGGCTGACTATCCTACTCCACTTATTACATATTCCAGTTACACATTACAAAATCTATGCGAGTATCCACTCCGGCATACAATTAGTAAAAACCAAGAATTTATGATTAATATCTGTCCAGCAGCGACGTCGGAAGTGAATAACGGTTGGGGGGGGGGGGGGCAACAATCAGCGACCATGGAGTCTGAAAGGTCCCTCCCATGCAAAATTGTGTACGAATTAATGCAAAGCAGTGGGTTTTTTAAGTGACCCTGAAACCCGTTTATTTAATCCGAGATTAAATCAATCAAATAATGTATTTTTGAAAGAAAAGTTTTGAAAAAAATTTTAAAAAGTGTCGGGGGATGTCTAGTTATATGCAACTGAGCAACTCAGAGATACTTGACTCGATTGAGAAAACCATAGCCATAGATCATTAATATTTTATTTAAAAAATAATGAAGAACTAGACCATACAAAAGTTACAAAAATTTTGTTCCTATTTATTGCACTATATTGAGCACTGTAAAGAAAAGCAAGGATAAAAAATTAAATATATCCAACAATTTTCCGCTTTTTCGCAGTTTTGCTGGCAAATTCTTTCAATATATCCTCTACTTCTACACTTTTTGTAATTTCTGCATGCACATGCAGTAGAAGATGTGTTAGTCGCTTTTGAGTGATTTATCTATTCATTCTTAGAGGGAGCGCGGCCCCCCTTGTATAAAAACTGAGGGGGCAACCCGCCCCCTCTGACCCATACTTCCGACGTCGCTGCTGTACAGTGCTTCCGTGGTACAGTCTACAATGCGTGCAATGTGTGTTGTATTTGCGTAAACGCTTTTTTACGTCATTACAAAGATAAAGTACATAATAAACACAGTTTATACAGTCACATAATAACTACATTAAAACGCATTTGGTGTTTTTAACAGTTAACACTGATTACTCATTAAACTTTAATGCAACACATCCGGCAAACCTGCCAAATATAAGTTAACGATCACCTTTAAAACATTAGGAATATGATTTTATTTTTCTTTTACTAAAGAAATTTTCAGCGTTCACTTTCACAAATAAATTACTCCCTTAGCCTCAAGAAAATATGTATAGGTAATTTTCTGTGCATTTGATCGAAAAAGTTATATGCCGGTAGGTATTTTTCCCAAACGATTTACATATAATATAATCCTTCGTGAAATACTCCGCCTGGAAAATAAATTGGAAGTTATGTTAGGAGTTATGTAAACATCATTTTTTAAACAGTGGACCAAGTAAATTTAATATGCGCGTCCGTAGAAATTCAAGTGGGTCGAGGTATGCAAGGAAAAAATCAAAAACTTATTTATTTTATGGCATGTTGCACACGATTGTAGCTCAACAAGTGTCATAGAGATGAAAGAAGGGAACATGCATATCGGAATATTGTATGACAGATAAAATAAACATTTCTGTTGGCCTACAGCACTAAAAATAAATACGTCTTTATGATGAACATTTTCACATCATTACTTCAGTAACTTTGATGCCTCCATGATCATTCTTCTTTCAGATATATTATATATACGAAAATAACTTTGCTAATTAAAGGACTTTATGAAAAAATATCCTCCGCGATTCGTGAACCGTTTGGTTATTTTCCTTGTAACTGAATTGCCTATTGACGTGCTTTAAAGCAAAAGTAATCTTATGCTACCCTTGCCATATTTTATTAACAATACCAACAGTAGGGTTCAAATTAAGTTAAATTAATACTTGAAATTTTAATAACCGCTTCTTCTTACAACTGGCCCATCTTATTTCAATCATTTTATAAATGATGCTTTACGTAAAATTCCTTAAGATAGACGAAAAGAATTCAATTTTGCATTGAGAGCGTGCTTCACCTGAGTTGCTTGTACCTTTTGTAATGTAATTAATTTTAATTTAATTTTTGCCTCATCTACCCTGATTTTACTAAAAGTGGTTTGGTCTAACAAGCAGGATGTATAATTGGGAGCTTTAATAAACGTGATACTGAATTACGATTTATAAATCTGCATTGATAGAATTATTAATTTTTCTTAGAATGATGTCCCACCAGTTGTTTACTTTCCCATTTTCTCTTTTCCAGCATAGGAAAATAAGTCGACCGCGACGCGAAATGGAAAAGTGGATGGTGAGTCGGTCTTCAGTGGCTCCTTCTGTTGGGATGGGAGAAATGAGGATGTCGTTGACTATATTTTGACGTTGTAGATACCTTTCGGGGCTTAATTGCCGCGGCGGTTTTGCTCGTTTCCAGCTGAAATAAGTTCCATGATATTACGGAGGTACCGGAAGCATCCATAAGAGGTGATGAAGGTTGTCAGCTCCTTGCTATCTTCATCTAGTGGAACTTGCTAATATCCGTGTCGGGCGTCAAGTTGTAGTAAAATAGCGCTGGCCTGAAGGTACCATAGTAGGATAGGCAGGACGGCGGCCCTTCTTTGTGACGATAACAATGGGATGACACCAACCTATCACTTCTCTATGATCCCTTTGCCATAGTATCCAGTGACTAGTCCGCTCCTTATCAAACGTGGTTGGGGCAAAATGTTATAAAAATAGAATAAACTTCACAAATAACCTCATCAATGAACTCGGAGATATTAACCTCAACCTCAGTGGATTTTGCTACATAAATCAGCAAATCATATTTCACGGCAAGAATGAGTCGCATACGCTTTTATAACGTATCGTCGATGACTAATTCTTTATCGAATTGATGGTGCCTTGATATCTTTCTAGAATATTCGCTACACTGCCCTCCCTCTCAAAACACATTTCTGAGTATTGCCAGCTCATTATAGCATACCTTCATTCAGTATGGCAAACAAGCGGCCTTAAGGATATTAAAATGACTATTAAGTCATATCAATATCACGTATAATTGGTAGGTTATAGTACTAGTACATCCGTGCATAAGATTTTTAAGGTAAAAAACGCAAGGTGAAAATACTAATACCATGATATCCATTACATAAAAACCGCAGACGTAAGTGAATTTGATCTCTTCATTAGGAAGGACCTGTATTCTATATTGTATTGAATAAAGGACAATGTCAACGGTAATTTATATACATTTCATAAAAATGTCAAATGCATTAGTAGTATTAAAGTTTGTCACCCATACTATTTATTTTATTTCATTACACGGGCCACCCCCTTAATAAACTTAAATGGGACGATGGCTTTTGTAATCCTTTGAACGGCCTTTTCATTCTCTAATTAAATCTAACATATTTTTCCATCACTACGATGACTGTAAGTGTATGCCCACACGAATAATGTACAGTATAATAAATATTATTATTACGGAAAATGTTTCCTAACCTGCATGCACTGGTTATTGGAACACGGAAAAGATGTACAACGGAAATAGCATTTTTATTGAACCAAAGCGATCGAAATGAAAAGTAAAGTTAGGTCTAGTTTTGAGAAATAAGCTCTCCAATGATGTATCCCTATATGTGCCATCGAAGCTTTAACCATAAGTGAGTGGATTACAAAACCCAAAAATGAGCTTAAATATGGCTAATACCACTTGATAATTTTGATCTGTTCTAGCATTTCTCCTTAAATTTTGCGTAGGATGATTTACTTGGAGCTGCGAATTTTAGTTGATTGATGTAAATCAAGCAATCTTTTTTTTAAAATCAAAATCATTTCATTTTAAGTGATTATTTGAATTGACAGAATAGCCATGTTTCAATGGTTCACAATCACCATTCAAAATTAAAATCGAGGAACTAGAAGTTAACCGATAGTTTTTAGCGCATTTTTGCAAAAATTTTTTTTTGTAAAAAGTAGCTTTTAATCTCACTTTGGCTGGCTGGCTGGCTGGCTGGCTGGCAGTAAATGCGCGCCCGTAGAAAAACGCTTGTAAAAAGACAAGGAGTGTACATGTAACTATCGGGGCCGTGTAATTAAGAACGTTAGGGATGGGGCTACAAGATTTGGAGTCGACGACATCTGGACGCCATCCCCGAGCGTATTATACTAACCTGGAGATTTTTCAGTTTTTATCTATCTTCTTCTACAGTTTTTCTCCGATTGTTTTCAAATTGGTGTCGTCGGGAAGATCTTGTCAACGCGCACAACTCCTGCGTGGCGAAATTTAGTTTTTTTTTCCTAGGGGCGAAATAAACCACCTTTTGCGCGGCGCGCTTCGAGGGGTAGTCGACTTTGGGCGCCCAAAAGTTTCTTACAGCGCGAATCGCGGTCTCTCTTTCTCGTGTCACTAATAGAAGGTCGAGCTATGTGAAGTACCCAAAAGTTTAATACGATTTTATGCCGGCATTTTAGCGAAATCTACCAAAATGTGAATTACGAATGAACGGGACGTCGGAACTGTGTATCGACAAAGGGAATGTGGTAACTCCCGACGAGATCTTACTGATGGTGGAGTCGAAACTTCAAATCCGAATTGTTGCGGGTGATCAGAAGTGGGTGTCGACAAAGGGAATTTATGGTAACCCCCAAAGGATTTTACTGATGGTGGAGTCAAAACTTCAAACGCGAATTGCGAGTGCACGGTAAGTGAGAAAATGGTACCGACAAAGTGAACGTGGGAGCTTTCGGCAAGATCTTATTGATGGTGGAGTCAATATTGGCTAATAAAACACTGATCTGCCACACAAAAATGCGCTGAAGTCCCTTCGATCTCACACGAGGACTTTGATCATTTTTTATTATACATAATAATAATAATTGTTTTTAGTGAGAGGTAAATGTGAAAGGCGAGTTCAGAGAAAGAATCCTTATATTATAATTTTGATATTGCCTTGCAAATGCTTGACTAAATACATACAGAATTGTTGACCGTTTTAATAAGCAACACAGCAGGACCGGAAAAGCACAAACGCTATGCATGTCGCTAAATTACTAAAATTGCACATACCTGATAAAGCCGGACTAATAACCAGCAGCACGATAAGTATACAAAAAAGTTTGAAAAAGTTTAATGTAATTTGAACACCGTTGCCCATGTTCGTAATAATTATATTAAAACAATTTTCATCATAAACAAACAACACTTCGTTTAAACAAAGCTCAAAGCTGTTCATTGTCAATTTCATTAAAAAGTTACATGTCGCACAAAGTTTTTTTTAAATTAAATCACGTTCCGTAAAATAGTAATTGAACCGAAATCGCTTCCTGTTGTCATTTACTCGGCCGCTCTCATTAATTGCATTAATGGTATAGAGAGTAAGTACAAATTATTCAATACGCGACTTCCTTTAATCATGCGGGCTAACACGTGCATCTGAATTAGTTGAGATTTGAGCCACCACTGAAGATTCATCTCTGATAGGGATGAGAATAGAATTCTTATATAGGTGCCGGATCACACATGTGGAATTTATTATGTGTATACATACGCTCGTTCGTTCTACTCCTGCAGCATCCGAATAAATAACGAACATTAGCCATACACCTAATTTACATGTTACCCACTCTTTCCCTTATGCTAATTGAATCTCTAATAAACAAATCATAAGCACCGAACCGCAATATAAATTTTGTACTGGAAGTGTTTGTGGATATGTGGGAATTACATGCTTAAAGTTGTGCCCACTTAAAACTACAATTTACGCCGTTAATTCTAAATTTCACGGTAAATGCACGAAAGTGAAGGGGGGTAGGATGCTGTGTTACGCCTTCTTATGTCTAATGACAGAACATGAAACGCGTGTTTAATGTTTTCTGTCACTTTAACAATCTTTGGAAAATGAAGTCAGTATTTATACAAGGGTTGTGGGCACACGTGGGAGGTTCAATTTTATAAATTACTACAATTACTGTTATTTAAGAATTAAAGAAAATTATGAGATGTCTTGTTTTTCGTTTAAATCTGACATTGGAAGCTGTTTCATTGTGACACTTAAATTAATTTCAACAACGATGGAGAATACCTTGATCCATCAGCTCTAATTGGCTTTGTTATCCCATCCCATTTACTCTCAAACATGTAGACAGTTAGTCCCGTGCACATTTGTGGTTCTAGTACCGCGCACAGACGATGTGCAACGAATTTATTTTGACACCCTTAAAGTGGCGCTAAACCATATAGCTCGAAAGCTTTTATGTAGGTTTGCTCGATGTTGCCATATGCGAATGGTTAAAATACAATTGCATCTCCGAATTTAGACCTTTATTATAACTTAGTTAGGTGCTTATGACATCCTTTCTTATACCAGATGGCCAACTAAAAATGACACGCGTTTATAGCTCAGAAAGTAATTAAAATACAAATTTCTAGAATTTTTCACTTATATGTCGTCAAGATGGTATGATAAAGTAATATAGTGAATAAGTCGCAAATAGTGTAGTGCTCTTCGAACCTGTTGTACCATAATATACAAGACTAAATAAATACAATCATAAAAATACGCCTAACCACATATACCTACTGGTCCTATCAGGTGTAAAGTTAAAAGGGAAAACAGAGAATAGTGTCAATCCGTTTTTAGATAGCTTTGGGGCAGTACATACTTCATTAAACATTTGTACGATATTTTGAGATTTCTTTCTAATAAATTAACTGTATTTAGTTAGGAACGCATCTACCCATGCAACAGTGTTTAGAATTAGTTTTAGTTACACTATCAAAAATTCTTTGATTTTTCAAAAACCTCAGTGTTTTGCCACTCGAGTTACTATAAACTTCAATAGATCAATACCTGTATGGTTAATATACAGGGCGTATGCTTTCGATAGGTAAAACTCTTCACTACGTGATTCCGCATTATTTTCTGTGTAAAAAAGTTAAATAACAATTTTAGCGTAGGTCCATAAGGACTTGCCAGAAATTGCATAAAAGCTGAAAATCTCAGGAAACAAAGACATTGATGTATACCACTCATATCTCATTTGTACCAAAATGCAGTTTTAATTGTAATTTAATGCGCATGATTAGTTATTTTTCGAAAAAAATGGATTTTATTGAGAAAAAAGGGAAAAAACGTTCCAAATTAAGTCAAAATGTATTGAAACGAATAGATCCTTTTCATTGACTATGTGATTACTTGACAGGCGTCCCCCAAAGGGCGCCACAACTCGGCGCCGCAGTATACACTACGTAACTTCCCCTGTAATATGGCTAGGAAAAAAAGACCGGTATCAATTTTCTACCTTTTTTGCCCAGAATTTTTTTTATAAAAAAATTGTAAAGTCGATTCTGGTAATTTTTTAAATATTACAAAACGTTATATTGAATTCTTTACCATTTTTCCATAAAAACTACCAGAAATGAGGAAAACGAAGCAATGTTACTGTTCCCTTTCCCTTTAATTTTTGAATTTGTAATTTTACAATAGAATTTTAAATGAATGCGTAAGTACGTATGAGCATCACGTGATTTCATTAGGGTAATATTTTGCACTATGATACTCGCCTCAGTTGTTGGGAATCGTGGTAGTGCTAGGTCGCCTCTGCTACGCTAATCAAACTGATTAGAAATAAATATGCGTGAAATGTAATTTTTTTGGGTACTTTCACGATGGATACTCACTTCTTCATGCGGCCTTCAATTTGTCTAAAAATGCATAGAAAAAATAACAATATATATTTTCTATGCGCCAAACGAGAAGAAAAACGATACTAATCTTTTTTCATCACACAGTCAATGCAAAGGGTCATTTTTTCTATTCGTTTGAATACATTTTAATTTGGAACGTTTTCCCCCTTTTTTTCTCAATAAAATTCATTTTTTCGGAAAATAATTAATAATGCAAATTAATTAAAATAATAATAAATAAGTACTGCATATTTCTTATGTTTCATATTTGTAATCATCTGCATATGAATTAAGCTTTCGATATGATACCTAGATTAATGCTCTAGCACAATTAGAAACTCGAGTTACAACAGTAGTGAGGGGGATAGACGCCTACCGTCGGAAGCACAAGGTACAATTTTGGTACAAATGAGATATGAGTTGCACACATCAATATCTTTCATTTCTGAAATCATTGATCTTGCAATTTGTATCAGGTACATTTCACAAATTGTTTGTTGTTATCTTGTTTTTTTTAATGAAATAAGTTAAGGAACGAGAAGGGATGAAGACTAGGGAGGAAATGGCACAATTCCCAAAAGTGTAGAATAAAAAAACTGTCGGTATGCTTTTTCCATAAATCGTCTTGATCGGCAGTAAAATAATAAAACAGATTAGTCATTATTATCGGTGCAAAACATCTAATTTTTAAACAATCGGTAATCAGTTGTTATAAACTCAAAAAAAAATTAGTCCCAGCTTTTTGTAGATGAAGGTCTAAATTTATAAAGTAGTTCCTAATGAATTGTTTTTCGCTCTTGTAGTCCCCCATTTTGAAAGGTAAAACATCCCTTTTTTTACTTGTTTATTGTCTTTACTTGTAATTAATCAATTACTACAAAACCTACGGTGATTGGGTTTGTCATGTTGTTTTGTTATCAAAAGAAGTTACTAAATACGGATTTTCAAAAAGATCGGATGAATTTTAGTTGGTAATAACCAGGGTAATAACAAGCTGTTAATTTTAGAGATTAATTTTTTATATTTTGCCATAAAAAACAATAACAGTTGAAAATGAGCGTTCCGGACCAACTGTATCTTATAGAAAATTTTATTCTAAACAAGTTCATTTCTATTCATTCTTTCAATCAGAGCAATAGTTAACGAGCTATTGGAAGTCAAATGCGAAAAAACACGACATTTTCTCATATTTTCTTCGTTTTTTGATAATAACAATATGTTCCGGCCGCTTCCGGCCAGGGGGACTATGATTTTCCGTTTCAGCGGATTTTTTTTACATAGGGTACGCTTGGTTTCATTGAGTGAAACCACAACATCCCGTTTATACTACTTTTAAAGCTAATTTGACTGGACTATTATGAATAATCGCGGCATTATTATATTTCGCGCTCTTCTACTACATGATTACTGGTAGTACCCTCTATTTTCTACTCAACCAAGCACATATTGAAAGCTAAAAAAGCCAAATCCTGTCGGTCGGTAATGTAGGCAACGCTGCATTTACGTATCATTACTCGCTTTGTGCTCAACCTAGCATCACGTCATTACGTGTTATTTTTATTTTTTAATCTCTACGTTGTTATTATTATGGGTCGACGCTCGTCGAAGAAAATACGTGCGTTGGAAAAGGAAATTAGGCGTCTTAAAAGTCGTAGACGCTCAACATCAAGATCACCATCCCGTTCAAGTGCTCGTTCTAGGAGCCGTAGACGCCATTATACGCCCTCAGTATCAAGATCAAGGTCGCCAACCCCTTGTGCCCGTTCGGTTTCAACGGGGCGACAATTAAGTGACGATCAAGGAAGCCATATCCCTATACACATGCTGGAAAATGATACATCGTTTGTATCAGGTACATAAGATGTTGCCTTTTGGCCTTATTATTATGTATACATATACAACGCATAACAGCATATTCAGTTGAGTAATTGTTATGTTATCCAGTTGGGTATCGTATATACACGCCAGTTGGCCCTCCTTTCGTAAAGGAGTTCGTAGCAACATAACCACTTTAATCCAAAAAGACACTATAACAGTTGTTATTAAGAAATTAATAATCGGTTATGTGCTGTTTGCATTATGTCCTTTTGGATAATGTGACAATTACTATAATTCTTGTTATCTGTATTCGTAACCACTGCTATAGGTACTAATTTTGTTCTCTCTTTCTTGTATAGGAGAAATTAACGAGGGTACAAATTCTATGCCTACCCGGCTACCCCTATTGCCCAACCGGATTTAAATCCAGACATTCTGCACATTTTGGGCAAACCCGAACAAGTTGCAAGTGCAACTTCGACCATTCACCCTTCTCTGGCAGAAATTTGGACAGACATTTTGAGAAAAGGTTTGGAGGCAAAAGAATCACTTTTATCTCTCTACCAGCCTTCTACACAAGAAAACTTTTTATACGTTCCACAAATTAATCCGGAAATTCGGGTAAATTTATCAGAGGCCAACCCAAGATCATATTATCTCTTGTTTACTTGCTATTGGAGGCTCCTTATCGCGACTCATTCAAGGTGAGAGTGACATCACTATTATCAAAGGACTAAGCGACGCTGCTAGACTGCTCTGTGATATCCATCATAATCAGTCTGTCTCTCGACGTAATTTAATTGGAGCTGCACAAAAATTTAACCAACAGCTTCAAGAAATGTTGCAGAAGGCACCCATAGATTCCTTTTTGTTTGGGGAAGACTTGGGTGAAAGAATTACTAAATTCAAAGCCCTGCAGAAATCATCGGCTGATCTCAAACCTAAGTTAGTTGTCAAGAACCCTGCTAATCCTTCCAAGAAACCAACTACTGTTCATTTAAACGCGAAGAGCCTGCCTCGACATCCTTACCCTCGTCAAAGCAGGCGCCGCAACTTAGGGTATCCAACGAACAGACAGGATCGGAAGCCTTACTCTCAGAAGTCGACCAACATCAGGAGAAAATAGTAAGCTATGCAGGTAGACTTAAATACTTTAAGTCTCAGTGGCGTCAAATTACCAACGACAAAGTAATTTTAGAGTGGATAT